ATCATAAACATGTTCTAAAGTTGATCTTCTCTGAAGAGACAGAAACAAAGATTGTATTCTCATAACTTCAATATTTCTCTCACATCTCTCATTATTGGGGCCGATTGTCGTTAATGCCTCTCCTGCCAGCTGAACAGTATCGCCTCTAAAACAAAAGAATAGAATGTAAAAATACAAGATAATGTAGAAAATTAATTGCTATGAAGAACAATGAAAGAACATAAAATGAATCCATGAAGGACTTCATCCACTGACACAGGAGTGTCCACCTCCAGTCCTCAGTGATGGTGTCCTGCGTCCTTTACATGCGTCTCTGGTCCAACACACCTGAGCTAAACGGGTTCTGGTTCTGCTGGTGGCCTGATTACCTGACTCAGGTGTGCTGAAGCAGAGGCAGCAGGACTGGAGGAGTGGAGAGAGAAAACCTGAAGTCATGTTTTGATCAGAGAAAGACTTACCTTCTAAGTTCACGCCTGCAGTCTGGTAGCTGAGCAGGTTGGACATCTGTTACTGGTGTCTGAAGCTTCAGCAACATGATGTCATGCTGGAGGCCATTGTGAGTATAAGTCACAGGTATGTCTCGGATTACCTGACTCTGTTGCCCAGCAGTCCGTGGATGAACCTTCAATATTGCTGTGTTAGTCCTGCAGTAAAGATTAGATTTTAAGGAACAGACAGAAAACCTGATTATCTGCAGATAAAACTGTCTTCATGTCTCTTTCCTACCATCCTGGCTCCGACTTCCAGCACTGAGCTGAAGTCAGAATCCACTGACGGTGGATCAGAGTTCCTCCACAGCGGATCATTTCATCACCCCTGCTGCTCTCCAGCCGAACATGATGAAGACGCTCCCTGTCATCACAGTTATGACCTCCAACGATTCTCTTCTGCCGAGAAACATCTGAGTTCACTGAAACACCTGAAGAAGAGGAAGGAGGACTTTACTCAGAAACCAGGTGCAAACATGGCTGCAGGAACAGAAAGAGGATAAACAGTTAGATTGAAAAGCATCACAGTTTATATGCAAAGAAGTTTCAGTCTGAAACAGAATCAGAGTTAAGTTTGAGAGTCACAGAGAGCAGCAGCCTCCCTGGAACCAGTGGACGTGTCTCCAGTGTCCCCAGTGTCCCCAGTGTTTCCGACTCACCCAGCCCCAGCAGCAGCAGCAGAACCTTCAGCAGAGCCAATACGGGTCCAGCTCCCTGTGAATGTCTGCAGTCCTGGAGCAGCTTTTAAACTCTGTTCACAACTTCCTGCTGGAAAGAAAGCCACCAATCACAGGACAGACACCGATCTGTCCAATCACAGGACAGACACTGATCTGTCCAATCACAGGACAGACACTGATCTGTCCAATCACAGGACAGACACCGATCTGTGCTGTCATCTGTACAGAGGAACTTTAATAACTCACTGTTCTAAAGAAACTTGAAAAAAGTTCTTGTTCCATTGACAGATTATTTCATTAATAACAAAACATTTCCCCCTATTATAACTTAAATAACCAGCAAATGAAACATGAACTCTTTCATCAGTATTAAGGAATTGACTTAAAACAAGCAGCTGACACATTTTGCTGCAAAATTACTTGTAAATTAGTTTTGCTTTATCTCAAGTAAACTGAGAGGTTTGAACTAGAAAATAGACTAAAAATAATTGGTAAATGTTCTGTTGTTGTAGTGCACAAGCTTGCAGAGAGATTTGCTCAAAGAAAAACTTGATTGTAAACTTGATGAAATAAAACAGATTTTCTGAAGAAAGAGCGACTCGTCCTTTTTTTCTGGTCGATATTTTTTAAAGATAAATCTACAAGAATTCACATCTGCCTTTGCTCCCGGAAGTAGAATATTTTGTTTATTGATGAGCTGTGAAGATGACCCTTCTTATAAACAGAAGAGGGTTTGCTTCTTTTATTTTGAAAAAGAACATTGTGAACAGCATTTGCATTTGTTGTAAATGTAAAATTACAACAAAAAAAAAATCACAAAAATTCACCCAAATAAATGAAAACAATTCTGAATTTTAAAA